GTCTAAAGGCCATTAACAATACTATAGTCCAATACCAAAGAACTTTCATCCCTAACAAACAGAAGGGACAGTCCAAAATCCAGCTATGCCCAGAAGATATCTCTGAAAAGTAGTCATTAGTTAAAATTACCTATCATAAGTAATTTATAAATCTCAATAGAGAAATCAAATTAACAAATAAGTAAAAATAGAACATCAGAAAGCACAACAGCAAAATGTTTTCAGTTTAGCGAATGATGAGAAATATGGGCCTAGGTTTAATCTTTGGCATATAGAAAGTCAGTTTTCCCAGCACCATTTATTTATTTAAAATTTTTTTATTCATTAAGTTTATTAGAACATTTTAGGTATACAACAAGATCACATATATGCACCAAATATAAATGGCCTTAACCACATAAAACAAATATTAAGCAAAGTGAAAAACCAAATAACCACTAATACAATTGTAGTGGGGGATCTGAATACCCAACTATCAAAAATAGACAGATCATCTAGGCAAAAAATCAACAATGAAATACTAGAACTGAACCAAACTTTTGAACACATGGACTTATTAGATGTCTATAGAGTATTTCACTCCACAAAATCAGAATATACATTCTTTTCTTTCAAGAAGAATCACATACTAGCTCACAAATCAAATTTGAATAAATGCAAAAGAACTGATGTTATTCCCGGTATATTATCAATCACAGTGCAGTAAAGCTGGACATCAATAGCATAAGAAACCATAGGAACTTCAAAAACACATGGAAATTGAACAACATTCTCCTGAACAATCAATGGATCACAGAGGAAATCAAAGAAGAAATCAGACAGTTTTTATAAATAAACGAAAATGCCAATACAACATACAGGAATCTATGGGATACAATGAAAGCAGCTCTACATGAAAATTCATAGCACTGAATGCCCACATTAGGAAAACAGAGCAAGCTCGAATAAACAACCTAACGATGACCCTTAGACTCCTAGAAAAACAAGAGCAAGAAAAACCCAAAGCTTGAACAAGAGAGGAGATTATAAAGATTAGAGCAGAAATCAATGCAATGGAAACTAAGAAAACGATACAAAAAATAAATGAATCGAAGAGTTGGTTCTTTGAAAGAATAAATAAAATTGATAAACCCTTAGCAAACCTTATCAAAAAAAAGGGAAGAAAAGGCTCAGATCCATGCAATCAGGAATGAAAAAGGTCAAGTCACAACAGATCCCACAGAAATCCAAAGGCTCATTAATACATACTATGAGAACCTGAACTCTAATAAAATGGAAAACACAGAAGAAATGGACAGATTTCTAGATACTTATGAATTACCAAAGTTGAATGAAGAAGATAAGAACATTTTAAACATCCCAATTACAATCAATGAAATTGAAAATATAATTAAAAGCTTACCAACAAAGAAAAGCCCAGGTCCTGATGGAGTCACTGCTGAATTTTACAAGATATTTAGAGAAGATCTATTGCATTACTCTTCAGACTTTTCAACGAAATTGAAAGAGAAGCAATACTTCCAAATTCATTCCTGGAAGCAAATATCACTTTGATTCCCAAACCTGGGAAAGATGTAACAAAAAAAGAGAACTACAGGCCAATTTCCTTAATGAATTCAGATGCAAAAATCCTCAATAAGATACTAGCAAACAGAATACAGAGGGTCATCAAGAAGATCATTCATCCTGACCAAGTCGGCTTTATTCCAGGGATGCAAGGATGGTTTAACATATGTAAATCAATTAATGTAATACACTATATTAACAAAGTCAAGGACAAGAACCACATGATCCTCTCGATAGATGCAGAAAAAGCATTTGATAAAATTCAACACCCATTCATGAAAAAAACTCTGCAAAAAATATGAATAGATGGTCTATGTCTCAACTTAATAAAGGCTATCTATGAAAAACCAACAGCCAACATCATATTCAATGGCCAAAAACTGAAAACCTTCACGTTAAAATCAGGAACAAGACAAGGATGCCCACTATCACCATGCCTCTTCGATATAGTTCTGGAAACATTAGCCACAGCAATTACACAAGAGAAAGAAATCAAAACAATAAACACAGGAAAGGAAGAAGTTAAACTGTCAGTATTTGCTGATGATATGATACTCTACATTGAAGACCCAAAAAACTCCACTACAAAACTTCTCGAGTTAATTAACACTTTTGGCAGAGTAGCTGGATACAAAGTCAACACCCAAAAATCAATAGCCTTCTTGTACACAAATAACAGATTCACTGAGAAAGAAATTAGGGAAACAATTCTTTTCACAATAGCACCCCCCAAAAATGAAGTATCTAGGAATCAACCTAACAAAAGAAGCAAAAGACCTCTACACTGAAAACTACAATACTCTGAAAAGAGATTGAGGAGGATTTAAGAAAATGGAAAGATGTCCCCTGCTCCTGGGTAGGAAGAATCAACATAGTGAAAATGGCCATACTACCAAAACTGCTATGTACATTCAATACAATACCAATTGAAATCCCAACACTATACTTCACAGAACCAGAAAGAAGAATTCAAAAATTCATTTGGAACCATAAGAGACTTAGAATAGCAAAAGCCATCCTAGGCAACAGACACATGGCAGCAAGTATAATAATTCCCAATTTGAAACTATACTACAAAGCCACTGTGATAAAAACAGCATGGTACTGGCAAAGAAACAGATCTGAGGATCAGTGGAACAGAATGGAAAATACAAAAACAAATCCATATGCACTCAGCTACCTCATCTTTGACAAAGGAGCTGACCATCCCCACTGGAGGAAAGATAGCCTCTTTAATAAATGGTGTTGGAAAAACTGGTTCTCAACCTGCCACACATTAAATTTAGACCTTTATCTGTCACCATGAACTAAATTAAAATCCAAGTGGATGAAAGATCTAAACATAAAAACAAAAACACTAAACTTGATGAAAGATAAGTTAGGCAGAAATCTGGAAGACATTGGCATAGGAAAAGACTTTATGAACAAATCCTCAGTAGCATGGGAACTAGCAGAAAAAATCAACAACTGGGATCTCTTCTTATTAAAAAGCTTCTGCACTGGAAAATAAACCATCAACAGAACTAAGAGAAAACCTACAATGTGGGAAAAACTTTTTACCAGCTGCTCCTCAGACAAAGGACTATTATCTAAAATATATAAAAACTCAAAACAACCAGCCCCCCCAAATATAAAGACCAATTCTAAAGTGGGCATCTGAAATGAACAGACATTTCTCAGACAAAGAAATAAAAGCATCAAGCATTATCAAGAAATCACATAACAACAAATGTTGGCGCGGTTGTGGGGAGAAAGGAACCCTTCTCCATTGTTGGTGGGAGTGCAGACTGGTGCAACCACTATGGAAGTCAATATGAAGATACCTCAAAGAACTAGGATTAGAGGTTCCATTTGACCCAGCCATCCCTCTGTTGGGTATCTTTCCAAAAGAATTAAAAGAATCATACCCAGTGATATATGTGCACCCATGTTTATAGCGGCACAGTTTGAAATATCTAAAACTTGGAAACCACCTGTCTGCCCATCAATTGGAAACTGGATAAAGAAGATGTGGTTTTGCTATCGATGCATAGCATACTCTTATTAGTCTTTATACATACACACACACACACACACACACACACACACACACA